TAGAGACGGGGTTTCACCATATTAACCAGGATGGTCTCAATCTCCCGACCTCGTGATCTGCCTGCCTCGGCCTCCCAAAGTGCTGGGGTTACAGGCGTGAGCCACTGTGCCTTGCCTGGTCTTTTATTTTTGAGACAGGGTCTCATTTTGTTGCCTAGGTTTGAGTGCAGTGGTACAATCTCGGCTCACTGCAGCCTCGACCTCCCAAGCTCCAGTGATCCCACTGCATCAGCCTCCCAAGTATCTGGGACCAGAGGTGCATGCCTGGCTAATTTTTCTGTTTATTTTTTTGTAGAGATGGGGTCTTGCTCTGCTGCCCAGGCTGGTCTTGAACTACTGAGCTCAAGCAATCCTCCTGCCTTGGCCTCCCAAAGTGCCGAGATTATAGGTGTGAGCCACCATGCATGGCCAATAACCTGTTTTTTAATTAAGGTGTGTACATCGTTTTCTCAGACATAATGCTACTGCACACTTAATAGACAACAGTATAGTTTAAACATAACTTCGATATGCACTGGGAAACCAAAACATTCATGTGACTTGCTTTACTGTGATATTCGCTTTATGGTTTGGAAGCAATCCTGCAGTATCTCCAAGACATGCGTGTGGACCCAAAGGAATGAGAAGGAAGAAAATAACAAAGAGTAGAAGCCAATGAAACTGATCACGTCTAGGCAGACTGACCAAGCAATAGAGTAAGAAGAAACAATCCGTATCAGCAATGAAAAAGGAGACATCACTACAGACCCTTCAGACAGTCAATGTAGAATAAAGGAATAATTTGGACCATATGCCAATACTTTGAACGGTTTGGGTGAAATGGACATTTGGGGCTGTATTAATAGCAAGTGTAAATGCCTGAGGGTACTAGCCCGGCTGGTGCATGTAGCGGCTGTGGACAGGATAATGTTGTCCAAGCAGTCAGTCTGATGGTGGTGAGTCAGACAGATAGCACTGATCAGAGGGCAGCGGGAAGCCATTTGGAGGTTCTGGGCAGAAGAGTGGCCTGGCCAAGCGTGCACTCTGAAGATGCCCTCCAGCTGCTTCTGTATGAAGAATACCTAAGAATAGGTAGCCCTGGTGCCTCTTTATAGGAGAGCCAGGCCTGGAGCCCAGCAAACAATGGCAGGGTGTGGGAGTGAGAGGGAGGAGGGGAAGGCAGGGCCTGGAGCCTGGCATGGGTGCCACAAATGGGGTTCCAAGAGACACTGGAGGTCAGGGGTGGGGCTTTGCTACACGAACCTACAGAGGACATGAAGCCAGGGGCAGCTGGGTAGCCTTCAGGGGAAGCAATGCCTGTTTTCCTGTCCCAGCCCGACAGGAGGGCCTCATACCTACCCCTACTGTGGCTCAGAAAAGGACGCCTGAGGGGTCAGAAGGACCCTTCCCTGCTGGGGCCAGGGGAACTCAGAGCCTGAACACATGCATGACCATCTCCATCTCCGGCACCAACCCCAGCTGCAGGTGAGCTGCATCCATGTGAGGGCACTCAGCCCGGTGAGAATAGGGAGGGTCCCAAGAAGGCAGGGCCCTGACGCAGGGAAACAATCAGAGATGCAGAGACATGAAGGACATGGACTGGGGTAAGCGCCTGCTGCCTCGGTTTACCTATCTGGATTGCGGGCAAGTCGAAGAGAGCCTGGTGCCTGCCCACCCCACCTGACTCCTCCAGGCTCAAGCCCAGGCCGTATGAGGCCTGTCCCACCCATTCTCCCGTGGCACAGCCTGCACCCCCACCACCTCGCAAAGCATGAACGAGACGCGCGCTGCCTTCTTCCTACCACGGCGTGGCTGTTCCTTCGCCTGCACCTGTGTCTCAGCTAGCACCCACGTCTCTCTCACGGGCCAGACTGGGTGTCACCAACCTGGAATGGCCCCCACAAACCCCAGGCTGGGTCAGGGGCCTCCATGGAGCTCCCGCAGCCCCCCAAGTGCCCCAAACAGGACCGTGTTTGCTGGAAGCATGAGAGTGAAGGAGGTCGCCCTTTGCAAGGCGAGGAGTCCGCTCCTTGGAGATAGCAGGCTGGGGCCCCTGTCGCCAGTATCCCTGATCAGGATGGGGCTGGCCCACGAGGTTGGGGTTCTGCCCCTTCCCAGCTCTGCACCTGCATCTCTGAGCCTCAGTTTCCTCACCTGTGGGATGGGGCGATGGCATGCGCCCCCCTACCACAGCCCACCTGCTGCCACTCACCGAGCAGGCTCTGCCGCTCCTCTTTCTTCCGGGCCTTCTGCTTGGCCTCCAGCTGTACCACAGACAGGGACGGGCCCACCGTGGGGCTGGGGAGGGCGCTGGCGGCGAAGCGTGCCAGCAGGCCCAGCCCACTCTCCTCCAGGCCCGGCGACAGGGCCCGCTCCCGGGCACCCAGCCTATAGCCGCTGCCGTTGGCCTCATCCTCCTCCTCGAGCTCCTCCTCCTCGTCCTCCTCCTCCGAGCTCTCATCTGGCGTGCAGAAAACAGGGACCGAGTCAGAGCCTTAGCCTTGGCGAGGGCCGCCCCCCACCACCCCCTGGCCTGGAGTGGCCTCTGGGCTCCAGCCTAGCCCCTCAGTCCTCAGCAGGGGGCTGCCGGGGATGGATGCAGACCCAGCCCACGGTTCCCCCCACCCGATGGCCCAATGCCCCCGGCCAGCTGAGCCCAATACGGGCATCCCGGAAAGCCCAGAGGTGGGCAGCGGCCTTGTGTGTCAGGGTGGGCTTCTGTGAAGGGCACCAACATGCACCTGTGCTGTGGCAGGGGCCAGACACACGGACAAGGACTGGAGACAGCGCTCTCCACGGTCACACGCACACACGCCCCAACACACAACACAGAGGCAGGAGAGGAGAAGGAAAGAGGAAGCGGAGGGAGGTGAGCAGGGAAGAGGGCCCTGGGGGCTCAGGCCAGGGGTTCTGGGCACAGATGCCCGTGGCAGCTTTACCAGCTGAGTCCTGGAGGCTGGCGGCAGGAGAAGGTGGAGTTCAGACTCTTCCTGGGGGCCAGGGGACCCCCATGGTTTCAGCCCTGAGAAGGGATCTGGAGTCTAAAGTTGACTCCTGGCATCGCTTGAACCCGGGAGGTGGAGATTGCAGTGAGCCAAGATCACGCCCCTGCACTCCAGCCTGGGTGACAAGAGTGAGACTTGGTCTCAATAAAATAAAATAAAATAAAGTTGACTCCTGACCGGGCGCAGTGGCTCACGCCTGTAATCCCAATGCTTTGGGAGGCCGAGGCAGGAGGATCACTTGAGCCCAGGAGTTTCAGACCAGCCTCGGCAACGTAGAGAGTCCCCGTGTCTAATTTTTTAGAAAAATTAATTTTGAAAAATGAAGTTGACTCCTAGCAATCCCCCATTCTGAGGAGGCTGGGCAAGTGCTTGGCCCTCTCTGAGCCTCCGTTTTCTCACCTGCAGCAAGCAAGGGGTGACCCTCCCCAGCCCACTGGCTCAGCCAAGGGCAGGGTCCAAAGAGAATCATTTGCATGGAGGAGGAAGCGATTTGCAAGCTTAAAGACGACCAAACAGAAACAGGGCCACCCCTGTGACTTGCAGGCAGGAACTGTGCTGTCCCCGTGCCCAGGGAGCTAAAGCCAGCTGTGACTTCACTCATGGGATGCCCAGGAAGGGCAGGGGTAGACTGAGGCCCAACGGGGTTAAGCAATTGGGCAGTAGAAGAGCAGGCTCGAACCCAGAGCTGGCAGACTGTCTAAAGAAGCCCCAGGGCTGGGCAAGGTGGCTCACTCCTGTAATCCCAGGACTTTGAGAGGCTGAGGCGGGAAGATCTCGAGGCTGGGAGTTCGAGACCAGCCTGGGCGACAGAGCAAACCTTGTCTCTACCAAAAAAAAATTTTTTTTTTTTGAGACAGAGTCTTGCACTGTCGCCCAGGCTGGAGTGCAGTGGCTCGATCTCGCTCACTGCAAGCTCCGCCTCCCAAGTTAACGCCATTCTCCTGCCTCAGCCTCCCGAGTAGCTGGGACTATAGGCGCATGCCACCACGCCCAGCTAATTTTTTTTTGTATTTTTAATAGAGATGGGGTTTCACCGTGTTAGCCAGGAATGGTCTCCATCTGCTGACCTCGTGATCCGCCCACCTCAGCCTCCCAAAAGTGCTGGGATGACAGGCGTGAGCGCCCCCGGCCCCCCCAAAAAATTTTAAAAATTAGCCAGGCATGGTGGCACACACCTGCTGTCCCGGCAACTCCGGAGGCAGAAGCGGGAGGATCACTTGAGCTCAGGAGTCCAAGGCTGCTGTGAGTTACGGTGGCACCACTGGAGTCCAGCCTGGGTAACAGAGCAAGACCCTGTCTCAAAAATAAATAGGCCAGCGCAGTGGCTCATGCCTGCCATCCCAGCACTTTGGGAGGCTGAGGCAGGTGGATCACGATGTCAGGAGATCGAGATCAGCCTGGCCAACCTGGTGAAACTCCATCTCTACTAAAAATACAAAAATCAATCAGACGTGGTGGCGGGTACCTGTAATCCCTGCTACTCGGGAGGCTGAGGCAGAAGAATCACTCGAACCCGGGAGGCAGAGGTCATAGGGAGCCGCGATCGCACCACTGCACTCCAGCCTGGGTGACAGAGCGAGACTCCATCTCAAAAAATAATAATAAAAACTTAAAAAAAATAAAGAAGCCCCAACCTGTCTCTCTGGTTGGTGACTTAAGATGAGCATTATCCGGTAACCCTCCCTGCCTGCCTGAGAGTTTGCAGCCCCCAGAGCCCAGCCCAGGCTCGCAGGACAAAGGCAGCCGGCAGACAAGAGGCTCCCTGCACACAAACCAAAATCTCCCCCACCAAAAAGAGAGACTGTCTTGAGGCAGAGACTTACTTCCAAGGACGGGCAGGTGGGAGGCCTCAGAGAGCAAACTCCGCTCTGGGACGCCACATCCAAAGTGTCACCCACAAGCAGGTGACAGGGGTGCCTGTCTGCCTCGCGGACCAGAGTGCTGGGAGCGGGAAGGTGACTCTGGGTGCCACAGGGCTGGAAGGTGACCCCTTCCAGCAAGAAGAGGCAGATGCCAGACCCTCTCTCTCCAGGATGGGGAGCAGTCTAGGCTCGGGGAGACGGACGGGGAAGACGGACAGCCAACTCCACAGTCTCCTGCCAATGCCCCAAGCCGCCTGCTTGCTTAAGCAACTTGTGGCCAAAAGCGGTGGCCCCAGGGGTGCCAATGAGGGCAGAGGTTCTGTCTGTCTACTCGTGTATTGGAGGGAGCCCGGATTTCTGCTGGGCCACCTCACAGAGGACGGTGATGAGTCTGAGGAGTCCGCAGAGGGGTAGAGGGAGGGAGGGAGGGAGGAGCCAGAGGGAGAGGGAGGAGGTTTGTTAAAAGGGTGAGAGGGGAGACTGGCCCCCGGAGCGATGGATGAAGCAGGCTGGAGAGGCCAGCCGGGCAGGCGGGGGCAGGCAGGCAGGCAGTGCACACTTGCGATCATTCACATTGCAGGCGTCACATGGCTCTGTCTCCGCCCCAGTGGGCCACAGCGGCAAAGCAGGCTAAGTGTAGGCAGACTTTCGACAGCGCCTGGGTCCCCCACATCGGGTCTCCCTGGGGTGGGCCAATTTGAGCAGGGTGGTGCCGGGGGGTGCTGGTTAGGGGGTGGGGGCGGAGGGTTGGACATGAGGCCAGGGATCTTCCCTTCTTGCCACTCAGGTGCGCAGACTCCAGAAATCTTTCCCATCCAGAGGAATTCTCAACCAGCAGGGGCTGCGGCGAGAGGGCGAGCTCTGGGTTTCTGGACACCCGCAACATCCACACCAGAGCCCAGAAAGCTGGGAGCAGCTCGATGCCTGCATGCTGGCATGGGAGCCCCTCCCGCCTCCCTGCGTGCTTGACAAGGCCACGCCTGCTGCCCCTGCGGGGTCTGGGGCACACTCCGCTAGCGTCCGCGGCAGGCCGGGGAGCAGAGGGGCTCTCAGGACCAAGAAAACCTTTCTGGAGTTATCCACACCTGAGGCAACAAAGCCTGCCAAGGGTTGGGGACAGGGAGCGGGGGAAAAAAGTCCCATCAAAGTAACCCAAAGAAATGCAGAAAAACTTTTTTTTATTATGATTTAAAGAAAAAAACAACAACAAAAAAAGATCTTGGCTCAGGACATGGGGTTGGCGGTGACAGGTTGGTGGTAAATGTCAGAGCGATCTGCTGCTGCCAGACCCGGTGGGGGCGAACCCCGAGGAGGGAGGTGCACGGAGGACAGAAAGAAAAGCGTTTTGCCTACCTACGGAGCAACGAGCCAGGCTCGCACCCAAGCTCAGTGACCCGCTGCGCCGTCTGCCCTACTCCCAGCCTTCGCTTTGCGTCCAGAGTGCAGCGTGAGAGCAAATGCAAGAGACCAAAACAGACATTCAAAGCGTCATGGGGAGGGGTCAAGGGTGGAGGGATGGTCGGGCTGCTGGAAGAAGCAGACACACTAGAAAAGCCAAGCCAGTTATGGAGTTTAGTACCAGGTCAGCGAGGCCCTATTACCCAAATATCCCTTTCAAGACCTGCTAAATGGTGGACTGGCGGGGGTGGAGGGGGGCACTGAGGAGCCTGGACCTCCCCAGCCTCCCCTCGCCCCCCGCACTCCCCTATCTGGGTCCTGTCCACTTGGCACTGCGGCATCCAGCCTGGAGCCCCTTCCTAAGAGGCCTAGGGGGCTGCCTGCTTCTCTGTGGGGTCTGAGCTGGGGCAGGAGGGCTCAAAAACTTGGAAGTGGGAACCATGGCTTTAAGGAGGCGTGGGGTGTGGGCGTGCGGTCCAGCCCATGGGGGAGATGGGGGAGAGGGAGGAGGCTGGGGAGGGAAAAGGGAATCATAAACTAACCCGACTCATCCACGGGCGGCCAGGGCAGGGGGAGGCCTCAGAAAATGAGGCTGGCCAGTGGGTCACGGGCCTTTCTTCTTGGCCCGGGCGGCGTTCGCTCAGAGGGGTAGTAGCAGCCCAGGGGAACATGGGCCCTGGGGCATCATACTCTTTGCCATACCACCTCCTGGTCACCCAAATGGATCTCTGCCAATTTGGAGGGGAGGTCTGGGAGGGGAGGTGGTAGACCAGGAATTCGAGAGCAGGGCTGGAAAAACAGGGCGGGGTGGGGGGACAGCGTTCAGGTCCCGGGGTGCCCGAGCCAGGTCAGACCCAGGGACATGATGACATCCCTCCCCAGGCTTTCCTCAGGGAGTAGCTGACATTCAGGTGTGGCTACCCAGGGCCTGGGGGATCCCCTCGGCTGGCCCTAGGGGGAGTTTGCCCTGAAGCAAATCCTAAAACCAGGGCTAGGAAAAAATGTCAGAGCTTCACCTGCTTTCCTTTCTTGGGGCATTTCTGGTTGAAGGGCCTGAAAGGCTCACACATGTCTCATCTCAGAAGCACAGTTCTGACACTGGAGACGGCAAGGCTAGTGGGTTCTCAGGGCCCAGGCGGCTCTCTTTTGAGAACCGAGGTGGCTGAGGACCCCGGGCTGAGACCAGGGCAGCCTCTCTCCAAACAAAGCATGACATTCTGTCCCTAGACATGGCAACAGAGCCGCTTTCGTACTGAATAACAGAGACCGGGGGTGTCAAAGGCCCTGGGCCCTGCGCTGCCTACACGCCCTTCAAAACAGAAATACACGTGAGAAGCCAAGTGTTTACAAATAATAGTTTTTAACCACTGGCAAGTAACAACAGAGCTTTAAGAAAATAAAAGACAAAACAAGCAACTAAAAAACATGATGATGCTGGAGGTGAAGGCGCTTGATTTTAAACCTGAAAAATGAAATGAATGCCAATCGCTACCAGGGATATTTGAATAACACAGGCAAGCGGCAGGCGGCACGGTCCCGGTCCCGTCCCTACTCCTTCTGGGTGGGGAGGAGGGAGGGGAGGAGGTGGGGGAGAAACAAAATGAGAGGGAAGCGTCAACCTAATGTCTAGTAAGGACACAGCAAGAGAGACAAGGCACACAGGTTTAGTTAAAAATGAACTCGATATGTTTAATAAAGCTTGGTATTACCAAAATCGCAGTACAAACATCAAGTCACACGCCCACACGACAGAATTCCATTTACAAAATGTTCCTCGGGAAGCCTCCACCAAACCCTTGCCCAAAGAGAACCCGACCCAAGCCTGGGGTCTCTGGGTGGGCAGAAAAGGTGAGTGCGGGAGTTGGGGGGAACTCGGGGGGAGGGGGAGGAGGGCAGGGAAGAGGGAAAGTGGAGAAAAACGCAGACTCAAAAGCAGTCCATATAAGAGCTCAAAAAGAGCCAGCCGGTGATATTATCACAATGATACAGTACAAATCAAAGCAAAAATCAAAACCATTCAGCTGATTAACAGCAGGCTACGCTGCCAAGAACCCAGATGGCAGCCTTCTCGCGGCCATCCGCACGGGCCTCCTCACCCGCCATCTCTCCCGTGCGCCCACTCGCTTCCCTCTCGCTCACTCGCACGCACTCTCTCGCTAGGAAACACGGAAGATATTTTGTGTTTGGAGCTAGTAACCTTGGTCAAACGATTCCTCCGAGGAGTCGCTGAAGGAGGAACGCGCCTCGGCCTCTCGAAGCAGCAAACAAAACGGCTGCTTCCTGCTGGTGGCCGGCTTGGGTTTCAGAGTCCGGGGGGCCACCAGGCCCCTCTTGGTCAGCTTGGGGCCGCCAGCCGCCTTGCTGTTCTTTGCCACCATGCCACACAGGAGAGAAGGCGTCAGTTTGGAGCTGGAGGGGCCTTGGGCGGGCCACTCGTCCTTCAGGAATTCTTCGTCTTCCTCTGAGTCCGTATCTGCAGTCAAAGTAGTTTTTAATAGAGATAAGTCACAGGGCAGCGGGAGCTGGTGTCATTGTATTGGTTTTAATGGTTCTGAGAACGCACTGGAAGGTGCCAGAACAAACAGGTCTGAATACCTAGTAGGCAGCCGTGGGAAGGCCTTGCCCAATGTCACCAGCTCCCCTCCCAGTCCAGGCTTCTTCCTTGCTCCAGGTGCCTCGGCCATTGCACGGCATCTTCCGAGTGCTGGACCCAGGCCCTTCCTAGACTGGATGCTTCTAGCCTCACCCACCAGTCACTCCAGCCTTTCCGGGCACCAGGGGATGAGAGGAGCCCTATGCTCAGGAAGGACTGTCCCCTGGTCACGGTGGTCACTGCCTGTCCCATGGGATTACAATGACCCAAGGGCGACAACCGCAGAGGACCTGACTCAGGAGGGGAAGGGTTCATGAGAGCAGATCACGCGTTCTCTTCCCAATGCCCCTCCCAGCGGCCTCCTAATGGCAGCACGAGACAGGCCACGGTAAGGGTGTTTACGCCATGGAAATGGGCAAATGCTGTTACCGCTAGCTATTCCCTTGCCCTTCTTTCTACAAGCCGGTGCGCCGACACACCACTGCTGGCTTCCCCGAAGCCTCCAGCCTCACTATACAATGGAGGACAGGAGTCTTCAAACCTTCCGGAGAGACAACCAGCCAGCTTTGGGAGGGGAGCCTGCAAAGCAGGCATGGCTCCGGTCCCCTCCATGCTCATGCCATTTTGATTTGTTTCTCATACTGGGCAAGATGGGAAGACAGGGATTCCAGAGACAGAATAATCCCTTGATCTGCTGAAATCCACTCCCAATGGGGGGAACGTGAACCAACACAGCTACAGTTCTGGCAGCACCTGCCACCTCCAAGAGAAACCACATGCACGCGTCCACGGCAGGCATTCCTCTGACTGCTCCCACCAACACCTAAGCTTTCACTCCAGCAAGACCCCAACCTCAGGATGGTCCGGCAACTCTGGGGTGGGACAAGGTCCAGTCCCGCCAGGCTACCAGCCCCTGCCCATCTACCAGTCAAAGCACGCTCTCTCTTGTATGCTCCAATCTGTCCCTCCCAAGGCTGTGTCCCAGGCTGGAGAGATCAGTGGGTGACATTCAACTTGGCCTCCTCCACAGGGAGGTTGGGCATGGTGGCTTGCATCTATAATCCCACCACTTTGGGAGGCTGAAGCGGGCAGCACACATGAGGCCAGGAGTTCGAGACTAGCCTGGCCAACAAGGCGAAATCTCATCTGTGTTTTAAAAAAATACAAAAACTGTTGTATTTTCTCTTTGTATTGTATTGTGGTGGTTGGCGCCTGTACTCCCAGCTACTCAGGAGGCTGAGGTGGGAGGATCACTTGAATCCGGGAGGTGGAGGTTGCAGTGAGGCCAAGATCACACCACTGCACTCTAGCCTGAGCAACAGAGCAAGACATCATCTAAAAACAAACAAACAAAAAAAACCAAAAAACAAAAACCCACAGGGCATGCCACCGACCCCTACAATCGAAACTGAAAAAGCAAGAGGAAACCGTTCTCGCTTCGACCTCGTCCAGCTCAGCGCCTCCCTGCCGGACACACCCCTACCTGCTTGTGGACCCTGCACTCTCTCTGACCCAGAAGTGCAGAAAAGCAGATTATAAAAAATAGAGGAGCGCTCTGCAGAGCCAGATGAATCCCACAGCCACCATCCCACTGGAGCCAGGCCCACTGAATTCCTCACTGCTACATTAGTCTGTTTCTCTCATCCGGGACAGTGGAGTTTTCAACAAAGGCAAGATGAAGTGAGGGTGCCCAGCTGACCATTCCCAGACCGGGCACAGCAGCTCACGCCTCTTTGGGAGGCTGAGGCAGGCTGATCACCTGAGGTCAGGAGCTCAAGACCAGCCTGGCCAGTGTGATGAAACCCTGTCTCTATTAAAAATTACAAAATTAGCTAGGTGTGGTGGTGCGTGCCTGTAACCCCAGCTACTCAGGAGGCTGAGGCAGGACAATCACTTGAACCTAGGAGGCGGAGGTTGCAGTGAGCCGAGATCATGCCATTGCTCTCCAGACTGGGCAACAAGAGTGAAACTCCATCTCAAAATAATAATAATAATAAATAAATAAAACGAACATTCCCTCACACGCGCCAAGAGTGAACACACCAGCTTGGAGCACCCCAGAGACCTCAGGGACAGAGCTCATCTCTGACCTTCGGTTGGACTCCATCCACATCCGCCTGAAAGTGGGGAATTCTTCCAGCTGTCACCCAGACTGCATCCACCGACCCCACTCCCTCAGAAGATCAAAAGAACAGCAATCTCCCCCCACTTTGCTGAACCCCCTTTACTTTTCCAAAATGAGCAGAGATTGAGAGAGCCAAAGAAAGCCCCTCCCTTCCCCCCCTCAGAGTGATGAGTCTCTGGCACTGTCCCTCCCTGCTTGTGCCCACGCACACTGGCCAGGAGCCTGTGCTGTACTTCTCTGATCACACCCATCCCAATCAGAGAGGCACGGAAGCCACGACACTCTCATACGTCCTCAGCACAGAAGGCACGAGTCAGCAGCTTAACTCACACCCATGGGGAGCATCAGTCCTGGTGACCTGCTAGCCCAGGAAAAACACACGTACCCCAAAAAAACCAGCAGCTTAATCCTGTGCCAAGTGCCACATTCCGCTCTCTGCCCACGTGAGCTCACTTAAGGCCCCCCAACAGCCCCATAAAGCAAACACTTTTTATTTTCTTTCCTTAAGAAAACACACTTTACTGTATCAGTAAATGTGTCCACTTTTTTTTTTT